AATTATCCCTCTCAGAAGAGGCGCTGGTAAAGAATGTGTGCATAGTGTCACTCATGACCTTTAGTCCTTAGCATCCCATCTTGGCTTTGCAGATATTCGATGCCTGACTTGGTTTCCAATCGCGAGTTAGCTTGGTGCCAGAAGACGCTTAGGTCCGACTTGATATCATCAGCACTGCGATTTCGAACTCACATCGAACAACTCTGGTGAGCGTTTTGAAGTCATTCCGATGCCATATGTATCGAGCATAGTCCACTAGATATTTGGACCAGATGTTGTTTCTTCACGAATAATCCTGGTTGTGTTTCTGCTCATTTTGTTCAAAAAGGTGCCCAATTTTCACGTAAATGTGTGACAAACACTCATATTGTTATAAAGCTGCACCAACTGTTACATGTATGCCACAGCCTCTTTAAGATCATTTCCAAATATTTTTCTAACCCTGTTCGAACTATTTCTTGTAAAAACTCACCGTGCCTTGGACACTTCAACACAAGACACTTTAACCAATTTTGATAAAGATGCGAAATGCTAGAAGATTCTTTAACAAAAATGGAAAACAGATCCTGTATCTCAGAAACATGTTAAGCACAATTTCAAAAACCAGGATCTACATGTAAAAAGATCCTGCATGTACGCCTATTGTCAAGGTCAGTTTATGTTGAGCATATTACCATATCCTGGCACAACATGTGGCATGATGTATGTATCATCATGGACATAGTAATATTGTGACAGTGACTACATCAACCTTCGCAGCCAGAACAACTGCTGAAATGCATTGGAAGACAACCGAAAAAAAATACACACAGAAACAAAATCGCCACTAAGAAATGGAGTACTGATTACTTTTTGTGACTGCCATTTTAAACAAATCAAAATAAGGCTACTCTATCGCACAACAGCAAAGAGATTCTAAGCGATATTAGAATTCAGGTGTAACAACTGTAAAAGTTCCGAACCCGTTAGTCGTCGGACAAAAATTATTCAAATGTTATGGTATAAACTCAAGAGCAACAAAAATAAATGGCGGCATAAGATGACGATAAAATGACCCGTTATACTTACCGCTGTGTGTCATGAGCTGAACTTGACCACACGTTTTGGCAACTAACGTCAGTCAGTTCAAGATTTGGTTTGATGCAGTGATGCCACATGGGTATCGCCAGCGTATGTTTTGCACATTATTTAACGGTATTTGTCAATAAACTAGTGCGAAAGCCATACACTATTGGTATCAGCAGATGCACAAAATAAGTTCGAATACTCATAGCCCTTTATTCGGCTATGTGTACCAAATACTACTTATAAATAGCGATTTACCTTCTATCCATCGCCAGCTAGTTGATATCAACCGTCACATAAATCTGCGGTGCAAGCGTCGGTTGATCATGCTAAGAGGTTAGAAACACTTCCCGCCGAGTGTATGGTGACGTCAGGAACAAAAACAATTCGCAGCCTGTCAATAGTTCCGTATTGGACCGAGCGGCACGGCACGTATTGACAAAATTGGATAAAGGCGACCGGGACCGGACGCGGCGAGACGGGGCGAACGTGACCTGACGGGACCAAGCGGGTCTGGACATGGGCCAACCAAAGGGGACAGGATCATACGATTTTGGGTGCCACCAGACATCATCAGTAGAAATTAGGCGGGACAGGAAGGGATCAGATGAGACGGAATGGCAGCGGATCGAGCGTGATGAGCCCAGACGGGACCGGGTGAGGTTGGTGAGACGAGGCGGCACGGGAGCCGCACGAAGCCTGACGCGTTGGGGTCGGGCGGGACGGGACCGGATGCATGGAACGGACTGACAGAACGAGAGAGGACGGGACAAGACTGGATGGAATCGAATGTGACCAGACAAAACCAGGCATGACCGGGTGGGACCAGACGCTACTGAGTGGGACCGGATCGAACCAGACAATACCTGATCCACCTGCTCACATGGCTAGCAGCTAGAGGTGACTTTTTCCCCACGCCTACCCCTTGCTCTCCGCTAGGTCACATACACGACATGTCTCCCCATCCCTCCTCTGCGTAAGGCCACATTCCTGGAACACGCTGGTTCACGTACACTTGGAGTCATGGAGCGCACACACATGCAACAACTTCAAGTCTTGTACCTTACGTTTGGGTTTATTCTATCACGGGTATCGCTGGCAGGTTAAGCTGTTGAAAAGAAGTTTATGATAAACTCAGGCATCTAAAAAAACGGCAAGGGTAAGTTAGACCATCCCATTTAAAGGGATTGCTTCACAGTTAAAGAGGGTAAAGCAAACCTGAGGTAGGATGAAACAAGCTCATTTATAACTTTTGGTATGCCCATAAGTAGAAAAGACTACACTAGACAGCACAATTTTTATGTTAAGGAAATATTTCCCTCCATGAGCTATGGCGGCCGTTTCATCTGAAAATCGCCCTCACGAAGCCAGATATGAACAGCCTGATCATTATACTTGCCTTGGCCTTGATCGCCGCCTGGCTATGGAGGGGCAGAATCTACATGGCGTAATTATGACGTCAGGAATGCCAAGGTGACATTTAAATACTCTGCCCCGAAATAGTCTTTGTGGGCGTGAAGCTCAGAAAGTAGAGGGGCTTATGCCTTGAGAAGCACACGGCTGTGAAATGCACCAAATGATCTCCAGACAACTTTTTCAGTTTAAAACCGAATGGAAATGGGAAACGCTGCCTTTAACGCACGTTTACTCTGTTCAGTGCGATCGTTTATTTTCCCAACGTTTCATGTCAATATGGAAACATTTATAACACGACCTGTAAACGGGACTAGTGGTATTGCTCTGCAACTGGATAAGAAGCACTCCGCGAGAGCATGACCAGCAGGTGTGTGTGTGGTGTGTGTGTGTGTGTGTGTGTGTGTGTGTGTGTGTGTGTGTTGTGTGTGTGGTGTGTGTGTGGGTGTGTGTGGTGTGTGTTGTGTGTGTGTGTGTGTGTGTGTGTGTGTGTGTGTGTGTGGTGTGTGTGTGTGTGTGTGTGTGTGTGTGTGTGTGTGTGTGTGTGTGGTGTGTGTGTGTGTGTGTGTGTGGGTGTGGGTGTGGGTGTGTGTGTGTGGGTGTGTGTGTGTGGGTGTGGGTGTGTGGTGGGTGTGGGGTGGGGTGTGGGTGTGGGTGTGGGTGGTGGGGTGTGGTGTGGGTGGGTGGGGGGTGGGTGGGGTGGGTGGGTGGGTGGGTGGGTGGGTGTGGGTGTGGTGGGGTGTGGGGTGGTGGGTGTGGGTGTGGGTGTGGGTGTGGGGGTGGGTGGGTGAGTGGGTGTGAGTGGGGTGTGGGTGTGGGTGTGGGTGTGGGTGGGTGTGTGTGTGGGTGTGTGGGTGTCTGTGCGTGTGCGTTTGCGTGTGCGTTGCGTGTGCGTTTGCGTGTGTGTTTGCGTGTGCATGTACATATGATGCGCATGTGATGTGCATGTGCATGCGCATGTGTGCGTGTGCATGTGTTGTGCATGTGCATGCATGCATGCGCACGTGCACGCAGTTGAACACAACGTTCCCCAACAGGGGACACCAAAATTTTTCAGAAAGCTTCTGACTAGCAAATCTATAAAAAACCGATGCCAGGAATAAGACGGGCAGTTTGCCCATTTTTATTGCAAGCAGTATTTGCAAATTTTTAAAGGAGTTGAACTTTGAATGCGGTGCCACTTGTGTCACCACGAATGCTTGGCGTTTTTCCAACCCGCACGACCTCCAAGCATCTTACCTTTAGAACCTATCTTGGATATGTGCTTCAGCTGCTCAAACTTGATGTTTCCATGAAGTTCGTCGACTATTTTCTTCATCTTTGATTCTACAAAGAGGAAGACGTTCAAATGAAGAAAGCTAAACGGACACAGTGCGCTTCAATTTGTAGTTCCTTTCCCCACGGCTTAAGGCGATCTTAAATAATAAAGACCACGTTACGGTGACGTCATAGGTGATATATTCAAAAGGACATGACTGACTTGCAAGGAAACATCTCGAAAATGACAATCAATGCTCAAGACCCCATGCAAATGTAGAATAGTCCCTTCAAGCGTATTTGGTACACAGCAGTTACACTCAATGCGGTGAGGACACTCAATGCGGTGAGGACACTCAATGCGGTGGTTGGCACTATGCTCAGAAGAAAGTGCACTTAACACTGATCCTAGGTCATGGAAGAAAAAAGATTCACTTTCGGATGCCCTCTTTATTGCTCCAGACCAGCATAGTTACAAATATTTGTGGTTCTTGCAATTATCTGCTTAGTGCGTCTGACACACCCACACATCACAACTGCAACGTTTCAAGGCAGTAAAAAGCAAATGGGGATGCACATTCATTTTAACAACAGTGCTTCTGACGACAAAAGTGACGACATTGGTGTTGCCAACGAGCTTCCACCACCATTCACGTTTCCAGCCCTCTCGCCAAGGGATGAGTGATGCATCTTACCCAGTCCTTTGGAGAGCGACTTCGTCGTCCGGTTCTGTGCAAATGTCACATGTTTCCCAGGGCGAAATGTTTCTTGTGTCCAGGTGAACTTGCGGGGAAGGAAACCTGTAAATACAGCGTACTACAGATGATACGTTTCGTACAACCGATCACTTTCAGATCAGTCAGCAAGTAATCAGTGTTCAAGTTGTTTTCTTAATTGCGTATGGTTTGTGCTCATCTATTTAATAGCTGTATACGTTATAGTGGTTGGAAATTCAGCTGTCAAGATATGTGATTGACCGCTGTACTCGGATCTCAAGTTTTGCTAACATGGTTTCATGCTAAAGCCCAACGCCTCCCACACACAACAACAATGCTGGTTCAGTAAAATATTTCGTTCTAAGTAGCATTGTAACATTCTAAGAATTGATTTTACCGCTACCCTGGTGACCAGGCGGACCCTGGACTTGACCGCAAGGAGCGGGCGAAAACAATCAACTGATGACGTCATTTGAAGCCTGATCCAGATAGTGGAAAACGGTTCCAGTGATTAAAGCATCATTTGATGTCAAGGTTCAAGAGTGGGGTGTGAACAACAATATTAATGCTTGCTTTTTAACGTCGCTTTACCAGCACCTTCTGCGTCCTGGCATGTCAGAGGTCGACTACTGTGAGGAAAAGTACTCTAATCATATTGTGCGACAAAAACTATGATTGAACCGGCATCCTGAAGTAAAGTACAAAGGTCTCTGGCCCATTCAAGATTTCGTTTATGGCTCTCCGCTGGGATCTACCACCGACGCGACCGCTAGTCACTCGCCACCTGGCTTGTCTCTTACTTTGTGTGCCCTCCTTCTTGCTCATCAAAACGAACCCGCGGGCTGCTGGGTAATGTTTGTCAGACTCGGCGTGCGAGGCGACCTTCCAGTCCAAGCCGTCTTCCACCACGGCGCTGTGAGCCGTCCCGCATTCGCAGCCCGTCCTGCAATGACAAGTCAAAGGAATAGGAACTGCTACCCCAAAAACAGCACACAATGATAAGTCAAAGGAATATGAACTGCTACCCCAAAAACAGCACACAATGACAAGTTAAAGGATATGAACTGCTACGTCAAAAACAGCACACAGGACAAGCCAAAGGAATATGAACTGCTACGCCAAAAACACAGCACACAAGGACAAGCCAAAGGAATATGGACTGCTACGCCGAAAACACAGCACACAAGGACAAGCCAAAGGAATATGGACTGCTACTCAAAAGCATCGCACAAGGACAAGTCAAAGGAACATGAACTGCTAATCCAAAAGCATCACATAGGGACAAGTCAAAGGAACATGAACTGCTACGCCGAAAACAGCATAGAAGGACACGTCAAAGGAACATGAACTGCTACGTCGAAAACAGCACACAAGGACACGCCAACGAAATATGAACTGCTACGCCAAAAACAGCACACAAGGACAAGTCAACGGAATATGGACTGTTACGCCAAGAACAGCACACAAGGACAAGTCAAAGGAAGATGACCTGCTACGCCGAAAACAGCAGACAAGGAAAAGTCAGAAATTGAATCAATGGCCATTTTCACATGCTTTTAAGGCACCAAGGTGGCCGGCTGAATACCCATCGCTAGGGAGGGGAGTTAATTTGCGACCCCCTGAGATCTCAAGTAAAAAGAAAGACAGAGACTTCAAATGTACAAGGCGGTTGGTTGTCTGCATGCGAATTCACTTGCGTTGAAATTTGAGATTTATGGTTCTGGCCTTCGGGTCCATAGGTCATGGTCTAAGGTGAAACAAGGCCAAACCCAAAATTGGTGTCCAGAGTGACTAAAAACAAAATGCTGGGGTCATTTTAGGTCAATAACCTATTCTGAACTCTAAGAACTCCATGGAAGATGTATAATGCGGTTCCTGCTATCAATAAGTTCGAAATGAGCACCAGGAAATATATCATTCAGCAAGTCCTAGAGTAATAACACGGGTTGGTTTTGACCTTGGTCTGACCCGCGTACCTGACCTAAGGTCAACGTTTTAATATTTGTGTTGCCTAAGAAAGCATCTCAGAGATGTATGGTTTTGTCTAACATTCCGCTGTTGCATCCGTTTAAGCGATACCCTAGAAACTGCCTTCGCTGAAACCATGGCCTGACTTTGACCTGTTATAGGTCAGCGATCTTACAAGGTACATCTATTTTTTTTTCAAACCAACCGATCTGCTATTAAATTCTCTACAGCTATGCCAAATTTGGTGCGGCTACACCACGCCGTTCGGAAACCATTCTGGGAAAATCTTTCGGGGGTCAATTTGACCCCCACACCCGAGCGCGTGTTAACAAAGGCAAAGTTCTCCAAATAATCTGACAGCTTTTACTACGATATTTGGTGGGATTCTTCAGTTAATAGTGTAGTCATAGCGTTCAAATTGTGTTGGTGTTCAACCGTGTGCGTGTGCGTGTGCGTGTGTGTGTGTGCGTGTGCGTGTGTGTGCGTGTGCGTGTGCGTGTGCGGTGCGTGTGCGGTGCGTGTGCGTGTGTGTGTGTTGTGTGTGTGTGTGTGTGGTGTGTGTGTGTGTGTTTGTTTGTGTGTGGGTGTGGTGTGGTGTGTGTGGGTGTGTGGTGTGTGTGTGTGTGTGTGTGTGCGTGTGTGTGTGTGGTGTGTGTGTGTGTGTGTGTGTGTGTGTGTGTGTGTGTGGTGTGTGTGTGTGTGTGTGTTTTCTTACACTCCGATGGACATCCATGTAGCGCTAGTTTTTCCAAAACAAGCACGCCAGCAGTTCTCGATGGTGGGCATGTTCGGTTCCGTCTTCCAGCTTATGCCTTTCGGTCTTCTGTGAGCCCAAAGCCAGCGTTTTGCAGCTGAAAACAACGCGGACATGAAACAAAAAGCACCGGTTTATCCCTTGCATCACTTAAAACATGACGTTTTGAACGAATTGCTCCTGCCAGGCCTCTATGCAGGCATGATAACTTCAATGTCCCTGGGGCTCTTAGCATGGTGACCATCATCTGGCCAAAAGACGTCGGTCTTCACCATATCCATTATTCATCCTCACCTTTATAATGGACATAAAAGACGCACAGGAGCAAGCAGCCCTGCATGCCAGCATTTCCCCGGCACGTGCATTCACATTTCCTATGCCTGCGCCTGCCTGTCGGCTTCCCTGCACGCACGCACGCACACTAGCACAGCAACAAGCACTTACACAAGACGCCCATGCTCATCTCATTTGACATACGTGTGTCGCCAGTCTTCATTATGTTGCCCCAGGTAGCGAGAGCTAACACCGAGTATGCTTCCACTCGCGGTGGTGGTTGCTGCAGGACGACATCGGTAGAGGCCGGAACCCAGGTCCGGCAGCTGCGGCGTTTCCACATCTGCATCCGCTCCTGTGAGATCGGAATGTACTTAAACGCATCGATATCAACTCTTTCAAGACGCACTTAAGGCGCAGAAAAATAGAGTTCATTGCAGAATTAAAATGCACATGATATGCAGAATAAATCAATTAGCATCCCATGGAAACCACCAGCTTCCTTCAGCTTCCTTTAAATGCTGCTGGAAGGAGCGAATGCTGGAAGGAAGGAGCTACGCCGCTAGTAAGACTACACATCATGCACTCCATTAACACGCGTCCGGGCGGCCGGCTGCGTACGCTTCGCTCGGGTGAGGGGTCAGTGTGACCCCACTGAGATACCAAGAAATATGAGAGCTAGAAACACCATATTTCCAGGGTATGTTTACTTATATGTGAACGCACTTAGATCAAAGTTTACGGTTCCTTGGACACGACCTTCGGGTCAAATAAGGTCAAACAAGGTCAAATTGCAGGCTGGTCGCCAAAGTGCCCCCAGAACCTAGATAACTGTTTCTAAGCAGAAGTTCACATGCTCATTTAAGGTCAGTGACCTTTTTGACCTTGTGAAGGTCATGGTGAGCAAAATCAAACAAGGCTGTTCTGAATTTTGCATTTGAATAAGCAACAAAGTTTAAGCTAGACAGTATGCTCCTGAAAACCGAGGGTTGACATGGGTCATTTTAGGTCAATGACCTATTCCGGCCTCTGAGAAGTCCATGGAAGATGTAGAGTGCAGTTCCTGCTATCAATAAATTCTGAATGAGCACCAGAAACTATCCCATACAGCAAGCCCTAGAGTAATAAAACAGGCTAGTTTTGACATTGGTCTAACCCTCATACCTGGCCTTAGGTTAATGCAGTTTGCTCATTCAATAGCTGTTTTGTCTAAGAAAGCATTGCAAAGATGTAGGGTTTTGTCTATCAATCCGTTGTTGCATCAGATTGAACGAGTCCCTAGAAATTGACTTCGCTGAAACCATGGCCCGACTTAAACCTTCCGTAGGTCAGCGCCCTTGCAAAAAACATCCAAAGTTGTTTTCGCCAAACGATCCGCTATTTAATTGTCTACATCGACACCAAAGTCGGCGCGGCTACGCCGCACCGTTCGGAATCCATTCTGGAAAAACCTTCGGAGGTCAATTTGGCTCCCACCCGAGCGCGTGTTAAACATTTCAGCAAAGGTGACGATTACATGACCTGAGAGGTCACTCATGTCATCTGTACCCAAACACGTGTGCATTTCCAGAATAAGAAGACCGTAAAGAACCCTGGTGCTTAAAGAAACACGTTTTATAAACTGGCATAGAAATTACACCGGTGAGAATATTTCGTGTACTTCCAACATGGACAGTTTAAGTTTGGTTGTGTGAGCTGGAAGTCATTTGTCGACCTTAAAGGTAAAAATCGAATGCAGTTGGATAGTGTAGGCAACGGAAAACACGGGTATTGATTCCGATCCTTGATCTGTTTTCGTCCAAATTTAGTATGCTTGGGGTGGGGGTGGGCGCACTTTGTCGATATCGGTTTAAAAAGGCCTCCAATGGGTTCGGGTTAAATGCTTAAAGGACTGTTTCACCATTGAAGATATTGAGACAAGCTTCGGACATTATGGAAAAAGCTCACTTGTAAACATTGGAATGTTCTCGAGTGCAAAAAACAGGTTTAACTTCCAACATTTCGGCATTAAGAAAACATGTTTCCTAACACGCGCTCCGCTGGGGGTCAAATTGCCCCCCCTCGAAGTTTTTCCAAAATGGTTTCGAAACGACACGGCGTAGTCGCGCTAAATTTTGCATAACTGTAGAAAAATTAATAGCAGATCATTTGGCATTAAAAATTTAGATGTACCTTGTAAGGTCGCTGACCTATGGCACGTCAATATCAGATAAATCAGATCATTTCCCCCGAAGGCAATTTTTAGGGATCTTTTAATCTGATCCAACAACGGCCATAATTACAAACAAATTACACGAAGCCATACATCTTGGGACGCTTTCCTATGCAACAAAAAAGTTGAATGAGCAAACTACATTGGCCTAAGGTCAGGTATGGAGGTCACGCCAAAGTCAATACCAACCTGTTTTGTTACTCTAAGGCTTGCTGTATGGGATAGTTTCTGGTGTTCACTTCGAGTTTATTGATAGCAGGAACCGCATTATGCATCTTCCATGGACTTCTTAGAGATCAGAATAGGTCATTGACCTAAATGACCCAGGTCAACATTTGTTTTAGGAACATGCTGCCTAGTGTAATCTTTGTCGTTTAGCGAAGTGCAAAACTTAAAGCAATCTTGCATGATTTTGGTCATCTTGACCTTAAAAAGGTCAAACAAGGTCACTGACTGAGTGAAAATGTGAACTTTTGCTTAGAAACGGTTATCTGTTCTGGGGTCACTTTGGAGACCATCCTGGAACTTGACCTTGTTTGACCTACTTTGATCCGAAGGTCATGGAAGGTCATGCACCTAGGAACCTGAAAATTTGACCTAAGGGAGTTCACATACAGGGCAACACACCCTGTCAATTTAGTGTCTCTAGCTTTCTTAGGTCCCGAGATCACAGGGCGGGGTTCAAATTGACCCCCCCCCCCACCCGAGCGAAGGGTATCTAGCCGGTAACCCGGGCGCGTGTTAATACGTCATCGTTTCATTACGTCATGAAGCTTTTTTCTGGCGTCAGAGCCGCTGCCGAAATTAATGCATCCATGTTGCCCCTGAAGCATGCGGCGTGATTCACTTGTAGGACTTCTACGCGCCGCAACGTGACGTTAGTTTACGCGTTGCTCATATGATAATATGCGTTTTAAGCGCATGTGTTATGCGCCTATATCTTGGCATTTCCGTGGTATTTTTGCTTATTTTCCATGATGACGTGATGTTCCGATGATTTCGTGCCTTCCTTATTTGCAATTTCGGTTACGGCACCAATCGTAACTTGTTCGTCTTATGTGCCAGTCACTGCCAGAGATGTCGCGTCAAAGTTGCCGCTGTAGTTCTGCCCTATCTAGTAGTTACCAAATGGCCAGTGTTATCCATGACGAAACGCACAGTGCGTATCTCCATAACCGAGACAAGTAGTTGGCAGCGCAATCTGACTGCTGGTTTATCGCCTTATATTTTGGTGGCACTAAGTGTTGCATCACCACATCCACAAATGTTAAAATAGCCATATTCAATGGGCCGTGCACACAATATGGTCATTGAGGTGGGTATTCAAGTGACGTCTTTATGACGTCATACATGATTAGGTGACTTTCCCATAGGCGGTGCGTTTTGGGCTGCACATGATTACGTGCTAGTTTAGAGACAAGAGCCTGAAGTCGTTAAAGGACACGGCTGTAAACTGTACAGAATGGTCATGAAAATTGTTGTGTCACTTAAGAACCCCTTACAAATCAGGAGTGTCTTTAAAAAAACTGCATATGCGTGAGGGTTTTTGTAATACAGACCACTTCTGGCAACACTTTCTGTAGGATAGTTATTGTAACAAAATACACTGTCATTGGACTTCATGTAAGACTTCAGCTTTTTAACGCAAAACGTTGTAAAACACCCCCAAAACCTTTCCCTATGTCTCCACGATCCACTGGTCCAGCGACACGAAACCCGCACGTGTTGGCGGAGGAGAGCACAAACAATTGCACCGTATATATACATATACATATATATATATATATATATATATATATATATATATATATATATATATATATATATGCGTGCGTGCGTGCGTGCGTGCGTGCGTGCGCGCGCGTGCGGCTGCGGCTGCAGCTGCGCGTGCGTGTTAGTGGTGTTAGTGTTAGTGGTAGGATCGGCGTCAGATCTTGCCGACTCTATCAGATAAAGACCTCAAACGAGGTGACTAACTGACTGCGAGGTGAGGAAGCACGTGCCGTCTGCAAACTGCAAGTGCGATGAACAATGCTTGCCAATATAACAAAGCTTACATGCACTGTTTCGAGTCCCATCTTGAAAACTACGTTCTGTAACTGAGACCGAGGGAGTTTTGACTATGACAACTACGCAGGTACGTAGCCTATTTCCAGTTCAATGTGACAGGTGCCCATCCGAAGCATAGGAGTGTTTCGCATTACCTTGATTTCAGTCACCAAAAGCATCAGAAGTTACAACTTTCTCAATGTTGAGCATTGCAATTGCACGGTCTGACCAGACACAAAGACAACAGGTCAACTTGCAAGCGATGCGCATAGTGAAGTAAACAGCGAGCTTTAGATAAACGATTGGCGGCTCGTTAAACTTAATAAAATACCACCATTCATTTCATTGCTCTGACCAAATTGTCTGAATTTGCAAAGATGAACTGGCAAGCTATATCAGCTAAAAATCTGATATCATCCTGACCATGATGCTCACCGCGCATTTCCACGCGTGTGGTCTCCTGCCTCGTACCACACTGCATGTGGCGTATCACTGATACGGATACACAACAACAGGTTGATTTAGGTGTATCCCGAACACAATTATCCAAAGAAGTTGAATGGGTTCAACACATTACTTACTTTCCAAAAGCTGCAAATTCTGTCTTAGCTGCATTGCAGGGTCTAAGCAGTGTTGGAACAGCTCGACGGGCTGTTTCGACCAGCTCACTGCTCCGTTGCGCAGCTCCATCCGCCTGGAACTGCAAAGCACCAACGTTAGTCTGGATTGTGAGTCGTCGTGACATTGCAGTGCCTCGCGCGTAGTCCGCCAGCGCTCTGCATCGCGGTGTTTGCTCGGCCCTCTCTTAGTCTCTTAATTTTCATGCATGATGCGCACAAAATAGAAGCAATTGATTTTCAATGGCAGATGACTGTCGCTGTTTCAGTGCATGCGGTCATCCCGAGAAGCCAATGAAGTGAACGGAATTGTATTGGGTCCTTTTCTTTATGATTACAATCAGTTTCGATGTTCAAGCCTTTTGGCGCTTCTGATGCACATACAT